TGGCATAGCACAGTGGACGCGCTTCGACCAAAACTGAACGTGCATCACAGACCAAACCAGGTTGGCCCAGGTTTGCCTTGTTTCTAGGCTAGAGTACAGACTTGCGAAAGGGGTGGACGAACCACTCTGTTACGGAACAGACAAATGAGCTGGTTACCATTATTTTTTAGAAGCACTTTAAAAGTGTAACGAAACCTACGAACACTGGCGAAACGCATGTGTAGCTTATGAGCCCCCTTAACAAGGCAACCGGGAGTGGCTCAAACGGGCATCATGTGTACGTGGGAAATGTACAGTGGGGCAAGACCACCCTTACCGTATGTCTGAACTTGAGGAAGGAGAACAGCAAGGGCAGTTCTGCACCCCTTTGTACACCCTATTTCCCACACGAAAAGATCAGCCTATAGGAACTCTTCGCATGCAAGGAACTGATGCCGTGTAACGAAATCATTATGCATATTGCAGTTGCGAGACTGGCTTGCAACTTGAATCCGCAAAGCATACAGTATCGCCTGATCGGCGCCTGATTACCAATTTTGGACTCCCATCCCACCCAACGACCTCAAGTCGGCTGAAAGTTATGGATTCTGTTGTGTGATACCAGACAGCTTACATTATTATGGCGTCGCGTGCGTCACTCCCGTCCCATCCCATAGTCCCCTGCTACTTTTACTCCCCTCCTTCAATCTCAGGGGACGTCGACAAACGACGAGATATGGTTAGAGAGCCGAAGTATCAGAATTTGGACCTGAGGCATCCGACCGTCCACCTCTCTCGACATTTGTCGTCGTCCCCACTTGAGACACCCTCACTACTTCAGGATTACAGCACACCCTCCCGGCTGCATCCTTGTACTATCCTATTTCTACTACCAAACTGTCGAACAGACAGAACAATGTCTCATCATAATCCTACTATGTGTTTGCGGGGTACTTATGGATTTTAAAGACCTGCCGTAGCTAAATTCGAGCAGGTCGGCTTCTTGCCTTGCAGGGTACCGATCATGGCGGAGGCGGTCGCAGTAGTGCGCGCGAAGAAGCAGGCGGAGGCGAATAGCGAAAGGGAAGCGGTGCTGACGCGGTCGGAGATTTTGCTGGACGAGAAGTTTGACGCGTATGAGGCGGCCAACTACCGCATGTGGGTTCGATCCAAATCCGAAGCCTTTTCCAGGTGAGTCGAACATGATCCATGTTCGCCTGTGAAAGTTACTAATTACTGCGAATGCAGCATGGACGGTGAGCTGGAACTGATGAAGGCTTGTCTTCATCATATAAGCGCAGTTCAGGAGTTTCTTTGTAGCTCTTAGTGCCACATTTTCCAGTTTGCATGAAAGGCACGTGAACTCCGCCGTGCCTCAAGCTGCTTTCCCCTTCGTTCCGCCCATTTCCAACTCTTCCGCGTTCCTCCTCGCTTCAGGCGCAAGCCTTCAGGGACTCGCAGCCACAAGAATCACAACTTGGATTTCCTCGATAGCTATGGCATCGCGCCGCAAAATGCGGAGCTGATGACACGTGTCGAAGAAGGCTCGTCGTTCAGTCAGGGTCATGGCAGCGAGGGGTTCTTCAGGGGGGAATGCGCGGAGAGTGGGGCGGCCGAGAGGTTGGTGGAGGAAGGGAGAGTTGGCGGAGAAGGTTCGAAGACTGAGGGAGCGCGGGACAGCAGCGGCAGCAGCAGCAACGGCAACAGCGGCAGCAGCGCAAGCAGCCACGAGAGTGTGGCGGAGGACGAGAGAGGGCTGCATGGTTTCCTGCAGCATTGCCGCGGCAACAAGGTCAGAAAGGCAAGCGCGCCCGACGAGGGCTGCGCGGATGGCGCGGAGGGCGGAGAAGGGAAGGCGACCGCGCCAGGGGCCGCTCTTTTGAAGCGCAGCTTGACGGCGGATACGAAGGGGAAGACCATGGCGGGGGGCGCGCTTAACGGCTTGGCGGAGAGCATGACGGGCGCGACCTTGGCGCGGTCGGCAAGCGATGCACTGCAGGACGCGGAGATGGACAGAGAGGTGCTGCAAGGTGCGCCCAGGTTTAAAGCGGTGCTAGTACTGCTGGGCTGTGGGCCGACGCACCGCCTCTGGCGACTTTGCGCGGCACCCTCACCGTTACCGCTGCTACTCGTAGCCGCCTCATCGTCCACGCGTCCACGCCGCTGCCTGGAACGCTCCCCCATTCCCTTGTAATCCTTCCCCTCCGAATTCCCCACCTTCCTCCCCCCTTTGCGAGCGACTGGTGGCAGAGGCGTTCGTGCGCGTGGGGGGGCTGCAAAGGTTCCCATTCTGTGTATTCCTCCTCCCCCCCCCTCCCTTGCGTGGCAGAGGCGTTCGCGCGCGTGGTGGGGCTGCAGCAGCACGTGCAGCACTACCGCGACCTGGGCGGGTTCGTGGTGCTCATGGCGCTCTTCATCACCATCCTCTACCTCCAGGCCGACTCCTCCAGAAGCTACGAAATCACCGCCGCGCACTCCGTCCTCTTTCCCCCCGTACGGCCTACCCCGCTCCCCCCGCCAAGCTCTACCCGCCTGTATCCCACTTCCGCTGGCCCCACACCTCGTGCGCGCATGGATTCTTGTGCGCCTCAAACGTTTTTGAATTTTGAGGCTCCTCAAAAGTATTTTACTTTTGAGGCGCCTCAAAAGTTGCCCGTGCCGAGGCCCTCCTCTCTCAGTCGTCTCCGCTCACCCTCCGCCCTGGGTGTGTGTCTCCCCGCCCACCACAAGAGCAGGGCATGCGTCAGGATGCGTCCAACACCTTCAACGGCCCGGATGACTTCTACAGCTGGCTCAACACCAGCATCGTGCAGGTGCGTGCCTCACCCTCTCCGCTCCATCTCTGGCTTGTCGCTTCTCATGCACTCGATCCATACCAAAGGCTACCCACCACCCACCCACACGGCACCAGATAAAAAAACCGCATCACTCATCGGCAGTGTTGCTCCTCACTGCCCTGCCGCTCTCCCCGCCGCCTCCTTGCAGAACCTCTGGGCAGACCTCACGTGTGGGGACGGCACATGCCACCGCCCCTTCCAGTTCCCCGCGTTTGGCCACTTTGGCTGTGAAGCGGACTGCGGCACCTTCCCCAACCTCACCACCGTGGTCGTCAGATTCTCCTCCCACCTCGACACACAGCAGGCCGTTGACGAATCTTCCTGGAACCTCTGCATGGTTGACCCCGTCTCCCTCTGCTGGTATGCTCAAGCCCTCTTGTTGCACACCAGCCCTTGCCTGCATGTATGCGCCCTCCTCTCGCCTCTCTCTGCCCTTCTTGCCGTCCCATGATCCCATCCTGTGTAGTATTCGCATCCCATCCATCCCATCCCATTCCGTGCCATCCCATCCCTCTCATCCCATCCCATCCTACCCCACCCCACCCCACCCCACCCCGCCCCATGGGGTGCATGCGTGGCAATCAGGTACGAGACATTCCAGCCATTCCCACGCGGAGAGACAGAAACGACGGTGGCGTTGGACATTCCGGACGGCGACTGGGTGGTGGTGCTCAACGCGCCCGCGGGGGACATCCGCGGCACCGTGCACGCGCCCCCTCCCGGCACGCGCCGCTTCTCCGTTGTTGGTGCCACTACCACCCTTGAGCTCGCTGCATGGGGCTATTGTGCACTTGATGATGGCGTTCCAGCAGCCAATCAGACAGAGCCAAGTGGCGGTGCTGCTGGTGCTTCGCCTGACATCTGTCGTGATGTGAGCATGTTGTTGCTCCATGTGCCCCCGCTGTGGGAGATACTCAAATCTCATCAGGCATCTTTTCAAGTTGCGTGCATGCATGCTTTTTATCACATGTGATGTCAATCCCACTGACTGCATGCATGTGTGCGTGCGTTCATGCATGCGTGCGTGCGTGCGTGCAGACGTGTGCAAGGCTGGTGGTCTGTCTACCAGCCACATGTGGGCGATCATTCACGGAGAGGGAGGTGGCAGGGGCGTTCGTGGACTGTGCGCACATGTGCATCGTTTCACCGTCCTCCATCTCCAGCTTTGCTGGCTCTCCCTGCCCCATGGTGCGCCCCTCGCCCCTTGCTCCTCTCCCTGCCCCATGTTGTCGTGCCGCACGCAGCTCTGATCATGGTGTCCTTCATGTTTTTTTTTTTTTTTTTTCATAGAACCACCATGCTGCATATTGCATTTCTCTGCTCTGTCCCTTCCTCTTCATCTCCTTACTTGGGGACAGCATCAGCACCACCATCACCTGCAGCAGAAACAGCAGCCGGTTCACTTCACCAGCACCAGCAGCACCAGCAACGCCGATGGCAGCAGAAGGCACAGCAGACCCCACAGAGCCCTCCCTCTGGTCGCTCCTGGGAGCCACGGACAGCTAGCGACTGACAGTCCTGCAAGTGGCGGTGTCACGAGCGCTCTTCACAGTGACCAAGGACCGCTGCCTTGCTGGCCACGGGCCGGGAGCAAGCAGGAAGCACTCCCAGGGAGGGCCGGGCAGCATACGGTGGCACATGGTGGCGTGCTTTTGCACGATGCTGGGGGGGCCTGTGATGACGATGGACGAGTGCCGCCTCTTCGATACAGAAGGGAAGCAGGTGGTGACTATTGCGGGCATGCATTCGTACCTGCAGAGCACGCATGTGAGGGGCGGGCGTGTGATCTCAGCGCAGCACATGCGGCGCTTCGTGCAGACGGTGGCGGCGGCGCTCAGCTCTGTGACGCTCATTTCCGATGCGGCGGCTGCGCACCTCAACTCGCTCATGCACTCCTTCGATGATGCTATTGTTACATCCAACGCTGTCGGCTGCTCGCAAGGTGGGTGCTTATGGCCGGTGGTCCTGCTGGTGGGTGCTTGCTCATGGCCGGTGGTCTTGGTCAGTGCGTGCACAGGTGCATGTGATGTCCGTGTGCGTCTGTGTCTGGATGTGTAGGTGTATGTGCAATCTGCATTTGTGTGTAGGTGTAGGTCTCTGAGTGCTGCCGTCACTATGGCACCTCAAACGAATCTTGATTTCCTGTCTGGATTTCTCCTCCTCTTTCCTGTTTCTATCTTGCAGGTGGTGCGTGGCTGCGGTGGCGGTCAGGCGTGACCCACAACACGACCATTCATGTGGGAGACAAGGTCACCTGGGTGTGGGATGACGACCTCCCACACTCCCTCAAAGGTACTCAACTCGACCACCTGCATTAGTGCCATTAGTTCCTGTGTGCAACGTACTGTAGCTTTTGCATGTTAATTATGATCCATCGTGCTCGTGCTGTACTCGGTGAACCGCTTTTTACTTGTTTGCCTGCACTACTTAATCCCCAATCCTCTCCATCTCCATTTGTCACCGCCATCAGTGGCAGCGATGGGTGAGGCAGAGGACCCGCTGTTTCTGGGCTTTGGAGGGCACCGATTGGGCGTGTCGCGCAAGCTGGCATGCACTCACATGAATGTGGGCGAGGGGGACACCTTTGAAGAACCGCAATCATGCGTGTTGAGTGAGTGGGGGTGTGCTCACTTAGCGGTGAGGTATGCTGGGTGAGTGGGAGGTTCTCTCATGGCATGACACCACAGTTTAAGCACATCCTTTTGAGACGTCTCAAAAGAGGTTCTCTCATGGCATGACACCACAGTTTAAGCACATCCCCGACAGGTGAGGTATGCTGGGTGAGTGGGAGGTTCTCTCATGGCATGACACCACAGTTTAAGCACATCCCCGACAGGTGAGGTATGCTGGGTGAGTGGGAGGTTCTCTCATGGCATGACACCACAGTTTAAGCACATCCCCGACAGGTGAGGTATGCTGGGTGAGTGGGAGGTTCTCTCATGGCATGACACCACAGTTTAAGCACATCCCCGACAGGTGAGGTATGCTGGGTGAGTGGGAGGTTCTCTCATGGCATGACACCACAGTTTAAGCACATCCCCGACAGGTGAGGTATGCTGGGTGAGTGGGAGGTTCTCTCATGGCATGACACCACAGTTTAAGCACATCCCCGACAGGTGAGGTATGCTGGGTGAGTGGGAGGTTCTCTCATGGCATGACACCACAGTTTAAGCACATCCCCGACAGGTGAGGTATGCTGGGTGAGTGGGAGGTTCTCTCATGGCATGACACCACAGTTTAAGCACATCCCCGACAGGTGAGGTATGCTGGGTGAGTGGGAGGTTCTCTCATGGCATGACACCACAGTTTAAGCACATCCCCGACAGGTGAGGTATGCTGGGTGAGTGGGAGGTTCTCTCATGGCATGACACCACAGTTTAAGCACATCCCCGACAGGTGAGGTATGCTGGGTGAGTGGGAGGTTCTCTCATGGCATGACACCACAGTTTAAGCACATCCCCGACAGGTGAGGTATGGACTACGGAGAGAAAAAAAAGCACCACCTTATTTTGTCGGCCCTAACAGGGTCGGCTTGGGGGTTCGCTTTCTTCGCATATCACCGACCCCATTCAACATCCTAGTCTTCATCGGCAACATGCTGTTCTCCACTGATAACGCCCGCAGCCACAAATGGTCGGGAAGGCTGCTGCAGGGCCGCCCCGACTGTCCTCAAAGATTCGACTCGCCCTCTCACCATAAAGCCATATGTGGCCCGACACACCTTGCCCAAGCTCGTGTGTGCAGCACACATGGCTGTCATTCCACAAGTACCCTTTCACCCTTCTGCTGCATCCTCACACCCCATTTTTCCTCCCACTCTCCTCCACTCTCTCCAACCAGAGATGGACAACGAGTCCCCCGGCTTCTTTTCCTACAGGAAGGTGTTTGAGGAGCCAATCACGATTCACTACGAGGACGGCACTCTCTCTGCTGACGACTCCTCCACCTCCTCCGCGTCTTCCCCCTCGTCTGCGTCTTTTCTCACTGTGCTGCCTGCACGAGCAGGAGCTGAGGTTGCTGGTGAGCCCTTCATGCCATACCACTTGCCATACCACTTGCCATACCACATGCCATACCACATGCCATACCACATGTCATACCACATGCCATACCATATGCCATACCACATGCCATACCGCATGCCATACCACAAGCCATACCGCATACGATCCCAGAAGCCATACATCTACATGCCGTACCACTTGCCATACCACATGGCATTTGTGAGTTCCTTCCATTGCCTTCCCTCCCGTTTCTTAATTTCTTTCACCCTCACCATTCTATCTTCCTGCATTCTCCCTATACCCGCCCCTACTGCATCCATTCATCTTCGTTATCCCTCCCGTGCATGCAATGCATGCATAGCAGATGTTGTGGATGCCACTGACAACATCACTCTTTCAAGCACCGCACGTTTCACTGACAGCAACGCTACCGCACCCTCCACGTCCTCAGCAGCCTACCAGTGCGCGCCGGGCTGTCTGCTGAGGTGGCTGGCGAACGGGGTGTGCGATGCGGCGTGCAACACGCCCACGTGCGCCTTTGACGGCGGCGACTGCGCGTGTGTCGACCAGCTCTTCGGCCCCGGCATCTGCGCCTGCCCGCCCGGCCACACCCGCCGCGACGACGGCTGTCAGTCACCCTATACCCTCACCACCTGCCTCTCTGGCTCCCTTCCTATTCTCTCTACACTCGTACTGATTCCTGTCTTGCAATTTCTTTCAATGAGCTCCCTATCCTACCATCCCTGCTCTCCGTTCCTCCTTCCTCCTTCCCCCCTCCCTCCCTCCCCTTCACCAGCGTGCTGTCTATCCACGGCGGTGGGCGCCAATCTCAACTTCCCCTTCACACTGCAGCGCCACGGCCCCAACTACACCGAGAGCAACTTTGCCTTTGCTGCCGAGAGGGGATTTCCCGTCAAGTGCTACGTTTCTCGCCGCAACCGGTACGCTCCCGCACCTCCCCACCTATCAGCCGCCACACTTGTTCCCAGCACCATCTTGCACCATCTTGCACCATCTTGCACCATCTTGCACCACTGAGAGAGGCACCGCTGTCAACCGTGTCATCTCGCATCGGTACCGGAGGGACAGCAGACTACCCACGCAGTGTCATATTGCTCCGTCAGCTTCCGTTTGCCGATCAACATCCAGCACTCCTCTGCCATATCCCTCTGCCAACCGCCCTCCCCCCTCCCACATTGTCTGTGGCAGTCTGCTAATCGGCATGGTGCTGCAGCAGGATCGGTGGGGCACGAAGCAGTGCAACGGATCGGGGTGAGTGGTTCTTCTGATTGGGATGTGACCTGCCAGGATTTTGTGGTGCTCGCCTGATCCTGTTGCTGTGGGTGCAGCCACTAGTTGCTCTTCATATCCTCCTTTCCCACAGCTGCACTGCACCATCTCTTAACCCACCCCACCAACTCTGCCTCCTCTCTCCCCTCCCTCCCCAGCCTACTGCACCTGGCGGGGTGGTGCAGCAACGGCACTTCGTTGGAACCGTTCGGAGTGAACCTGCACTCCCTGCCCACATCGGCCATCTACGACAGCGCTGCCAGCGCCAACATGACCCAGCTCGACAACAACACCTTCGGTTTCAAGCTGCGCTTCAACCCCCAGGGCCTCCCCTATGGCTTCATCTACCCCATCGTATGCTGTTTCAAGCAATTATGCTTTTCATTGTTTGTCTTTGCAATTTATAGCTCTTTAATTGCATGAATGATGAGCTGGAATACGTTGGAACATGGATTGGATTGAGCCAAGTGCATTCTCCTCCAATGTTGGGTGGGTTTTGTGTGTAACACCCATTCTTCAAGGGTATGTCTACACTGAGATATGGAAGCAACCACAAAAGCATGATTCTCTAATCTATGTGAAGTAAGTGAGGGATGAGTTTGTTTGTGAGGATCTTGTGTAGTTGTCTTCGGTCACACTTGTTAATGATGGATTCACTTGCGCTCTCATTTTCTTGCAGGACTCGCTCACAACCCTCCCGCTGGTGTTTGACATCAATCTCGACTACGAGGCGGCCATGCGTCGTCTGCACTATCTGGTGGATGGCGGCTATATCGACAATGGCACTCGTACTGTGGACATCAGCTTCATAACTTTCAACGGTAGGTGCCATTGCTGCACCCAGAATTCCACTCTGAGTTGTACCAAATGCATGTGTTTTGTTTCTGTCTTTAGCGGCCTCGACTGCTCTGCCCCGTCCGCTTCTCTCTACGTCTCATGTGTCCACCACCTTCACACCACGTTGGCAGGCGAGACGCTCACGTTCGTGCTGACCACTGTGAGGTGCACATTAAACGCTGGGGGCAGCATGGCGGTCACCTTCAAGTCGCAGCCGGCAGCCATGGCGATGTACGATGCATCGGCGGACAACATCGCACGGCTGGTGCTGGAGATGGTGTATCTGGTGGGGCTGCTCTGGAATGTGTGCGGCGAGCTGCAGGAATTGGCCGACTGCGCTGCCAAGGATGGCTTTGTGCTCAGCTGTTTTGGGCAAGCATGGAACTGGGTCGACATGCTCTCCCTCACACTGCAAGTGGCTGCGGTTGTTATCTGGTAAGCAACCAGCCAAGCTGCGTGACGGGTAGAATTTGCCATGCAATGCATCCGGTGGTCCTTCATCTCATCTGCCACCACGCGTTCGGCTCCTTCCTCACTGCTCATCCACCGGTCCCCACATCCACATTCACTCACAAATTTTCAACATGCGCGTGCGTGTGTGTGTCGGTGTGGGCAGGGTGGTGCTGTGGCGGTACGTGGACGCATTTGACATGCAGCCACGCTACGACATCTACTACACGTTGCTCGAGATGCCACGCTACTGGGCCGTGCCCAACCCGCCCACGGGCTTCATCAGCGCCACTCAGGCCTTTGCTGATCTGCGCAACATCATCAACCTCCGCGCCGTCTACTTCGCCCTTCAGGGTATCAAGTGAGTCGCCTTGCCTGTAGCCAGGGCATCAACTGAGTGATTGTCTTCTGTTACCAAAACAATGAGCAAAAGTCAAGCCTGAACCGGACCTGGTCAAGCCGACCTAAACCGGCGGGTTGGTCAAACTGAGCTGGTTCGGCCGAAGTCTTAGCTCCGATGTTTCGACCATTCGTGTCAGTTTGCTGGCTCTTCGTTCTATGTGGTTCGACTTCGTTCTACATCTTCGTTTATGTTGACGAGCTGGTCTTTGCTACAGCCTTAATGAAGGTCGAGCTGCTGAAGAGACGCAATTGCACTGATCTAGGTGAGCTGCACCGCTATCTTGGCTTCCAGATCACTAGAAGCAGAGCAGCGTGCACCATCACGCTGACTCAGTCACACATAGTGTAGGAGATCCTTCAGCGCTTCAGCCTTCAATTCTCCTCCGCGCAGCCCACTATTTTGTCTGTTGGCAACTAAGTTGGAATAAACGCGTTTAGCGTTTTGTACGCTCTCGTATACACGCGAGAGTATATACGCTAGACGCTGGCCATGAGGGGTCTGGTACGCACAAGAATACGCTTGCCCGGGCAGGGAAAAACTTTTTCCCGGGCAGATTTTTGGGGTAAGAGGTGGGGATGGGGGGGTGATGTAACCCCCATCCCCTTTTTATTAATATGAAAGTTACAGAAAAAACAAAACCCGTAAAACTAATTCACCACTACATACATCTTCCTCCACCACATTCATGCTACCACCCCTCCCCCTACTCTACATGTCCATCCTTAATCCCCCGCCTGCCGCTCATGCATGGACGAGAACTTGTTGCTGTAGGAGTAGCAGCCATGGTGGCTGGGGAGAAGAGGTAGCTAGAATAGGAAGCGAGAGAATGAATATCGAGTGAACAAATGCCACTCTTTTTGCCTGGGAGATTGGGTTGGGTTGAGCTCCCAACCAGTAAAGTAGCGGTTGAAGGGGGTGGTGGAATGCTGTGGTTTAAAGGGGTGCGAAACGGTGGAGGGGTGGGGTTGAGGAGGTTTGGAGCTCAAAATTCAAAATTCGAGTTCAGTTCGCGACATCTGCGACTCGAAATAGAGATCGCCACATCGCGAGCTTCAGATTGAAATTTTGTTTTCTTTTTTTTTGTTTTTTCGGTCTGCCCGAAATTCAACTCGGCGATTTTTCAAATTATACGCAGCGTACGAATTCGTTAAGCGTATAAACGCAAAACGCAAAAGCAAAGTAGCGTATATTCCAACTTAGGTTGGCAATACACTCTCGGCTCCTGTCCCTTCGAGCCGGTTGAGCCCAGTGGTCCGTACGCAGTGCTGGTGGGGTGCCTAATGTACCTGATGAAATTGCACTCGCCAAGACTTGTGAGTGAGCTCGCCTTATCCGCAAGAGGATCAAATGAGCCGCCTTGCCTGAAAGGGCATCAAGTGAGCCGCCTTGTGTGTTTGTGCGTGGGTGTGTGCGTGTGTGCCTTGACCACGTTCTCCTCTATTTTTCGCCCTCTCCCTATTCCCTCCAGGCTCTTCTTCATGATGATACACCTACTCAAGGTCATGGACTTTCAGCCTTACCTTGGGGTCATCACGCGCTCCCTCAGCCTCGCCACGCCCTCGCTGCTGCACTTCTTCCTGCTCTCCTTTGCCGTCTTCTTCTGCTTCAGCATGTACGGCTACCTCGTCTTTGGAGGCGCTCTTGAAATTGTATGTGACACGTTCATTCTCACCGTTCTATATAGAGCAAATGTGCCACCCTTTTTTGCTTGAGCAAAGCTGAGAGTTCAAGTTTATCGTGGCACTCTTCTTGATTGCCATGCCATCACTTTTATCCTTCCTTCCTTCCTTCCTTTCTTTCTTCCTTTTGTGTCTGATACCCCAACAATCTCCCCCTCTCCCTTCACCCCACCCGTTGCAGTTCTCCACGGTGCTTGAGTCCATGTTCTCGTGCTTCCTGCTACTACTCAACGGCAACTCCTCCGCCTACTTCTTGCAGCGCCTGGAGTCATGGGACCTCATAGCAGCGATGCTCTTCTTCTTCATGTTCATCGTCTTCATGATCTCCCTCCTCCTCAACTTCCTCATCGCCATCATCGTTGATGCCTTCATGAGCGTCAAGGACAGCAACATCATCGCCACCTCTATAACCTCTGACCTAGGACACATTATTAAGTACAAGTGGAACTGCTGGCGCGGCCGCTACTTGCGATACCCCATCATTCTTGACCAGCTTGTGCAGTTGGGAGCGAAGGACACCCGAGTGGAAGAGGTGAGAGCTGGGCACAGGGTCATCCTCGTTGACTCAAGGTTAATCGGCTGATTGATTGCTAATTCTCACCAAATAACCCTTGTAGGCATTAGATAAAAAAATCCGAAACCTGTTTTCGATTTTGCTCGAACATGTTTGATCCGAAGGCATTTGGTTCTGGTTCGATCAGTTTGGTTCGGTTCAGCTAAGGTTAGCCGCGCCTTGCCGAACATCTAATGTTGGAATATAATGAAGTTCGGGTCACAAACATTAGGATGCTCAGCCAGCGTGGGTGTTTATTCAGGGTCAACAAGACAGCCCAACTGGAATGTACTTCTTAAATAACCTCTCTTCAATTCGTGTGCGTTGCAGTCAAATCGTCGGATGCGGCGCATGCAGTCGTTGAAGCGGCACACACGAGCCATCTTCTCCGACAGCCGTGGTGGCGACTGCAGGCCGTCGTACTTCGGTCGGGGGAACAACCAACCCGCCTTCCCGCCTGACAGTGAGTCTAGGGAGCGGCAGCAGCACGTGCTGACAGTGAGGGAGAAGCGCATCGACGCCATCTCGCTCGCCATGATTCTGCAGCGCCGCCACGACAGGGAGGTGCGTCTCTTTCTGACGTGGTTTGTTAGAATTCCTATGTTTTAGCATGCTAACACTTGTGACTGTACACCAATTGTGGTGTACAGTTGGTTTGGGACTACACCCAACTTTGGGTGTCGTCTTGCATTTTGGGGTGCCAATCCAACCCAATTGTGGTGGAGCCCCCAAATGCAACCCTATGGGCCATAGGGTACCCCACTTCACAAAGTGAGGCCAACCCAACCCAATGGGCCATAGGTTGCCCCACTTCCCCAAGTGTGGTCAGCCCAACCCAATGGGCCATAGGTTGGCCCACTTCCCCAGTGTGGTCAGCCCAACCCAATGGGCCATAGGTTGGCCCACTCCCCCAATCCCACCTCCCTCCTTTCCCTTCCAACCTTCTCTTCCCAAACCTATGTATGCTTGTTCACTTTCTAATCAAGCTAATGTTTTAGTTTACAACTTTCACATGGTATAGAGCTAACGTTTTCCAAGGCCTTACCTTTTTTTTCCTTTTTTTTTTTCCCCAAGGGCCCACCATACGTTTCCCTCGCATCGCGACCCTCACGTCGCCGCCATCCCCCCTTCCCGCCGCGACCTCACCGTCGCCGCCGTCCCCCCTTCCCGCCGCGACCTTACCGTCGACGCCGTCCCCCCCCCTCCGCGCTTTCCCGCCGCGGCCTCCCCGCCGCCGCCCGTGCCTTTCCGCCGCGCCCCCCCCCCCCCCCCCCTCCGCAATTTCCGCCGCCGCGATTACGCCGTCGCCCGCGGATTTCGCCGCCGTGACCGCCACGTCGCCGCCCACTGATCCTGCCGCCGCGACCTCTCTGTCGCCGCCTGCCCTCCCAGCCGCCGCGACCTTTCCGTCACTGCCTGCCCTTCCACCGCCGCGACCACGCCGTCGCCGCCTGGCCCTTCCGCCGCCGCGACTGTCACGTCGCCGCCTGCCCGTCCCGCCGCCGCGACTGCACGTCGTCGCCTGCCCGTCCCGTCGCCGCGACTTCACGTCGCCGCCTGCCCATCCCGCCGCCGCGACTACGTCGTCGCCGCCTGCGGTACCCGCCGCCGCGATTGCACGTCGCCGCCTGCCCATCCAACCGCCGCGACTGCCCCGTCGTTGCCTGCACGTCCTGCCGCCGCGACTGCACCGCCGTCGCCCGCAATTTCGGTCGCCGTGATTGCACCGCCGTCGCCCGTGATTTCCGCCGCCGCGACTGCACCGTCGCCGCCTCCGATTCCCGCCGCCGCGAGTGCGCGTCGCCGCCTGCTCATCCCCCCTCCGCAACTACCCCCCCCTCCCCGCCGTGACCGCGCCGTCAACACCCGCGGTTTCCGCCGCCGCGACCACATCGCCGCCGCCTGCCCATCCCGCCACCGCGACCCCGTCGCCCCCTGCATATTCCGCCGCCACTACACCCTCCCCCCCCCCCAACCCGCTGCATATTCCGCCGCCACTGCGTCCTTAACATTCTCCTTCGCCGTCCGCAGGCTCTCCAGCCGACCGCACCCAATCACCCTGGCGAACCTCCTCCTCTCCCTCCCCGCCCTGGCTCCCCTCCTCCTCAGCCTAACCCGACCGTGGCCGCTACCCCAGAGCTTCAGGCTGCTGCGGACACCACCTTCCTCCACAACCGCCGCGAATACCTCATCCGCAAGGCCAACTATGACGTTGCTGTGCTCAACTACGAATTTGCATTGTAAAAGCGTGCCACTCGCCTAGAGCTGATTGCGGAATACAACACCTCCATGGCGGCTTATGTCCCCAACAGCATCGCCCGGGCCGCTGCCGACAACCGCGCTTGCACCA